TATGAATAGCACGTTGCTAATAACCGGCGTCGGCGCTTTCAAATAAATCTTTATTGACAGCTGTCTGTAGACAGGACAGTCGACTGCTCGTACAGTGTGTGTGATCGTATCAACGACAAGATTTTCAACACTGTGTATCATGTCGATACACAGTAACGAAAGCAATTCCGTTCCTCCGTTAACCTGAGATCCGTTTGTCATCCGTTGAGCCTTCGCTCATTAATCGATTCCTTTCATTTTCTCCACCCGACAGTGTCCATTCAGTTCCCCAGTGTAAGCAGTGCTCCTCATTAAACACATGTACGACCTGTCTGCAAGTATTCCAGTGTGGCTGGTGTGGTGACTACAACAATCCTACCATAGGAAAGTGAGTATGGAACTGTGTGTACAAATCTGTCTCACTATTATGACAAATGAGGCTGGGTTTCTTCAAATGTATTATAGTCGGTTAGTCCTTTTTTTATTAAATCTATGTTTTTTTTTTAGATGTTTACGAGGAGACTGGTCAGGAATGGACGATCCCTCCGTGTTCAACTGCAGCGTGGCTGTGGCTGAAGCAAGGGCTGCTAAGTATGCAATCTACTATTTACCCAAAAAAAACGTATGCATGCAACCTAAAAAAGTTATTCTTGAAAGTAGTCTACTGCAGGTAGCAGGTAGCAGAGGTGGGACCAAGTCCTTGCTTTGCGAGTCATAAGTAAGTCTCAAGTCTTTGCACTCAAGTCCGAGTCAAGTCTCAAGTCAAGACAGGCAAAGTCCGAGTCGAGTCCGAAAAGTCAAGACTGAAAAGTGTCAAGTCAAGTCCCAAGTCCTTACGTTTCTGTTTCGAGTCCTTTTAAACAAAATAATAATATATTTCCACAGATCACTTTCGGTTTTGGAGAAAGTATCAAGTCTTTGCACTCAAGTCCGAGTCAAGTCTCAAGTCAAGACAGGCAAAGTCCGAAAAGTCAAGACTAAAAAGTGTCAAGTCAAGTCCCAAGTCCTTACGTTTCTGTTTCGAGTCCTTTTAAACTAAGTAATAATATATTTACACAGATCACTTTGGGTTTTGGACAAAGTATCAAGTCTTGTCGAGTCAAAGGGCTCGAGTTCAAGTGAAGTCACGAGTCATTGACGTTAAAGTCCAAGTCGAGTTGCAAGTCTCTTTACATTTTGTCAAGTGGAGTCTAAAGTCATCAAATTGATGACTCGAGTCTGACTCGAGTCCAAGTCATGTGACTCGAGTCCACACCTCTGGCAGGTAGTCTACTGTATAGCTGTAACTACTATTAAATACTATTAATACGTAGTATTTATATAAGTTACAAATATCATACATTGTTCTGGGTAATGTATATGTTTTTTAAATTTATTATTATAAGTTAAGAAACTCAACAGCATGGACCGAACACAACGACTTTGCGGGCCGCATTTGGCCCCCGCGCCTTGAGTTTGACACATATGGTCTAATGGCATTGGCCGTGGAATTGTGTTACAGAAAATGGCACTTGTTTTATTTATATTATACGTTTTTCACATTACCTTTGCCGTTGAAGTTGTTTTTATTTGTAAATATTTATACTGTCCTATTTTTATAAATTTAAAAAACGAAAAATGATCTTCTTTTTTTTTTTTTTTTTTTTTTAAGAGATGTTTTGATCATGTCTTTAACGGTGGCATTTTCGTCCTTCTCCGTCAGTCCTGCGCCCCAGACCTCGGCACCGCCTCGCCCCCTGGAGATGGAGCTGGAGTTGGAACACTTTGATGACGAAGAGCAAGACGCCGTTTGGTCCTATCCCACCTGCCCGGATGTTGAGGAATGCAGACTGGGTCTTCATAACTGTCATCCCTTTGCCACGTGCATTAATACGCCCACCTCCTACGAGTGCCATTGTGAGAGAGGATACACGGGGGACGGGACGTTGTACTGCAACCAGACGTAGGTTTTCACCTGGGGAATTTGGGCCTCTGCTGATATGCAGGACCATACTTATTGTTGATCCTTCACCCCCGGCCCCTAAACAGGTGCTACAACGAATGTCGTGAAGGTCAGTGTACCGGGAGTCCAAGATTTGAGTGCGAGTGTTCCCTGGGTTGGACATCTGACCCTGCCACTCTTGTTCTGAGTGGTGTGGAATGTGACGTGGACTGTGGCTGCAACTTCCACTCCACCTGTATCACTGCTCCAGGGATCTGTGACGAATGCCTAGGTAAAACACCACCTACTTTACATACTTTTAAAATGAAACCCGCTTTTGAAACTTTTTTTTTTTTCCCCTGCTTCTCTTGAATAATATCATAGTTGTGATTCGCCCCTCCTTACAGCGGTCAGGCCTTTCCTGTGCTTTGAAATTTTTTCCAGACATGATAGACAGATATGTCCGAAATTTTGGTCAGCTGACTGGAGCATTCCTCCCTCAGTGCGCCTGCGCAACGTTTTAGTCACCATGGCGAGGCGTCGGTGCCATGAAAATATGGAGGCGGGATTGATAGAGCTGTGGCACTGTCCACAATAAACATAATAAATAATAAATAAACAAAAAAAAATACTGAGCACGTCTATTGAGCCATCTCCGACTCCAGATGCCTCTTCTTTTTCGAATTTTCAACGCACAGTATCGCAGCAATCATAACGGCAGCCTTCTTCTTCTATGAATAGCACGTTGCTAATAACCGGCGTCGGCTCTTTCAAATAAATCTTTATTGACAGCTGTCTGTAGACAGGACAGTCGACTGCTCGTACAGTGTGTGTGATCGTATCAACGACAAGATTCTGTGCTTTGACATTTTTTTTCCAGACAGCAATATAACTATGATCAATCACAAAAGTACTGAGTGGCTATATTCAACAAGTAATCGGAACTTTTCTTTTTTTTTTTTTTTTGTCCTCTCAGATTGGACAACGGGTCCCCACTGTGAGCACTGCCGCCCTGGTAGCTTCGGTTCCGCCCTAGCAGGTGGCAGAGGCTGTGTTCCGTGCGAGTGTAATGGCCACGGTGACCCACTCCAAGGATACTGTCACAACCAGACAGGCCAGTGCTACTGCACCCACAACACTCAGGGGCCGCACTGTGATTCCTGTCTTCCTGGCTACTACGGTGACCCTAGGTATGCAAATATTTAACATGCACTTCAATCTGTTCTCCTATTTTCAGCAGGTACACAAAAAAGTGTATTTTCTAATGTAATATTTTATTGTTGCGACTTGCGACTTTGACAGGAACAACGGAACATGCTACCGCCAGTGCCAGGGTCGCTCGGTGTTGCTGTCCCCGACTTCGTCCTCCACTGTACCTCTGTCCTCTTCCCTCGGCTGGCAAAGCGGTGCTGAAGGGAAAGGCGGGCTTTCTCATTGCCTGTGGGTCTTATCTGTGAATGAAAACCTCAGACCGTGTACATCTCGACAGCTGTGTCCTCCTATAGCCCTCACTCTTCTCCCGGACTCCCATACACATTGCAAAGTGGGTACAGAGTTTGACTTTGTCCTACCAACAAAATAACCGGTCGCTTGTAGGTATTGTCTAACTCTTTCTATTCTTTTTTTTTTTTTGTTTTTTTTTTTTTTCCCCCAGAACTCGTATGTTTATGTTTTTGATGGTCTTCCCCGTTTTCTGGGTAATGGAGTCGTGCACTCGGATTACAACCTTATCGGAGCGTTTTGTGGAACGACAAGGAATCATCCCATCACAGTGGAAGCTACATCAGGTATATGTTATGTTGAGACAATCACTCGTCAGTTTATAAGCTGGTCAACCAACATATACAGCAGAGGTGGGTCGTATGAACTGAAACGAATGACGTGTAAAAGTCAGTTAGTAAAGGCTAAAATGCTAAAAATGATTTTAGACTTTTCATGGGTCAGGAGCAGATAGATGGAGCTTTGATGTGAACTGAAACGAATGACATGGTCACAATGGGACATGTTTGGTGTGGCCCGATTAAAAAGACAAACGGGCCACATCTGGCCCCCCGGCCTTAGTTTGTCCTTGCCTGATATAGTCATGGATGGACATTTTTTTTTACTTCCGATCCGATTTTGGATTTGGATATCGGCTGATACCGATACTATTCCGATACTATTGCTTTAATGTTTTTATTATACGCAGGTATTTCCCAAAAGCACCTTGAGGTTAGTATAAGATAAAAAAAAATTTAAAAAAAAGGAAGTCAAAAATACAGGAAACTATGTTAACAGGAAAAACCCCAGCCTTAAAATAAATATGTGACTGTATAGGTTTGAAATTGAACATTTTTTAAAGTGCAATGTAAACATCTTATAACAACATGTGCATTTGCGCGTGCGGGAACTACTTGTCAACATCTTATAACAACATGTGCATTTGCAGCAGGAACTACTTGTTATTGTAACTTGGCAGCTGGTGGACTCGAACCTGAAGCCTTCCGGACCCAAGTCTGCTTCCTTAACCACTAAGCCACCACTGCCCGATTGACCAGCTTGACCAACAGTAGACTTAACCTAAATGATGCTGATGGTTTATTAACATGATCTTACCTTCTGTCTGACCGTCAGGCATTATCTCAGTCTACTTCGAAGCCAACGTGTCTGCCAACAAACCACAAGGGTTCAATGCATCTTTCTGGGTGCGCCGATGTCAGCAGAGGACCGACAAGGGAGACGACGGCTCACCGATATGTCCAGGTGGAGGCCAATGCCAAAGCGGGGTCTGCCAGTGTCCTCAAAGACTCGTTGGACCGCGCTGTGACCGGCCGGTTTGCCCTCAGGACTGTGGCGTGGCGGAAGGACGCGGAGTTTGCAATGTGGTAAGCGCTTTAGAAATGTACGGTTTTTATTTTAAGAATACTTACCTTTGATGCTTTGATCATATATTTTCTTTGTTGTAGTCTCTGGGCATGTGCGTGTGTTCGGACAATTGGGTTGGCTCTGACTGCTCCGTTCCTCGGGACGCCAATGCCCTGATCTGGGAAACACTGCTGGACACACATTTCACAGTGGTAATGGCACAGACAGTGAATTCATTGTTTTGATGTTTTGTTTTTATTTAGCATCTGGCTTAGCTGGTAGCTTAAATGGTAAATATATGTTTATTTAAAAAATACAGAAGGACTCTACATGTTCCTAATTCCCATTCCCTACTTTCTTGTGTGTTTTGACAGAACCAAGCCCACAGGTTCCTTCATAGAATGGGCCACACTCTAGTATCTGGACCACAGGGAAATCTCTGGATGTATGGAGGACTTTCTCTGTCAGAGGGCATTTTAGGAAATGTCTATAGGTGGGAGGCAACAAAATTCCTTATGCGATAATGAGCACCTAGAACTAGGAATTTTGCACCGTGTCTAAGTTGTCATGTCACATTTTTTTTTTTTTATCTCACTTGCACTTAGATATTCCGTGTTGGAGAATCGATGGACCCAAATGTTGACCAGCTCGGTAGATGACGGCTCAACCCCTAGCTCTCGCTATCAGCATGCTTCTGCACTGCTCACTCTCCATGACTCTGTCTCGGGAACCCCCCGAGACACCCATAGCCTGATGTTTGTGGTGGGAGGTGTGACCCAAAACGGCGTTGCCTCAGATACTTGGAGTCTCAATCTCAGCAGCTTAGTCTGGAGGGAACACAAGGTTAGTATTTACTTAAAAAAAAACAATTTAATTTACTCTATAATATTTAACACTTCTTTGCGAAAGTCCAATTTTTCACCACGTTAACGTCATATACTTCTGCTGCTGCTTAACAGAGCTCAGTGCTGCCCCCGGTGGCAGGCCACACCCTGACTGTGCGCAGAGACTCGTCTTTGCTCCTGATTGGAGGCTATTCTCCAGAGAATGGTTTCAACCACCATCTGTTAGAGTTCAGCCCACATACAGGGAATTGGACCATAGTGCCGCACCTTGGAACGCCCCCTACAGGTTACTTTTTGCTTTTCAAGAATTTAAATTGAAATATCAAATGTATATCTCAGTGACTATTTGTTTTTGTTTTTTTCATCCTTGTATCTTCGTGAGTTTATTTTGTGTTTTTTTTTAGCTAAATTTGTAAGTGAGCGGTAGGATTAGGAGGAGCGAGACGTGCGGTTTGGTACTCAACGTAAGACATTTTGCTTTTTCGTCCAATTCAGGGTTGTATGGTCACTCAGCGGTCTACCACGACCAGACTGATGCCATCTACGTTTTTGGAGGTTATCGCTTTCATGTAGAGACAGTGGAGCCTTCGGGCGAGCTTTACAGTCTTTACTATCCCAACCTCACGTGGTCTCTGCTGGTACCCTCGCAGGGTAATAAGGTAAGATGCTAACCATGGCCGACTCAAAACGCAAGTCAGAGAGCCAGAGCAGTACACGACCGACGGTAACCGTGTTGTTGTTTTTTTTTTTTTTTTGTTTTTTTTTTGGTCGTTGCTCCGTAGCCACTGTCCCGTTTCTTCCATGCCGCCTCCCTAATCAAAGACACCATGGGCGTCGTCGGAGGGGGGACTGAAACAGAAGACTACAGTAATTCAGTGTACCTCTATCAGATCAACTGTAACACTTGGATAAAACCAGGTAATCATCATCACCAGAATGTTGATGTTGCCGCAGATTCGCTCTCCGTGAAGTCAGGCTCGACCGTGCCAATCGTTTTTTGTTTTTTTTTTTTTTGTTTTTTTTTTGGTCGTTGCTCCGTAGCCCCTGTCCCGTTTTTTCCATGCCGCCTCCCTAATCAAAGACACCATGGGCGTCGTCGGAGGGGGGACTGAAACAGAAGACTACAGTAATTCAGTGTACCTCTATCAGATCAACTGTAACACTTGGATAAAACCAGGTAATCATCATCACCAGAATGTTGATGTTGCCGCAGATTCGCTCTCCGTGAAGTCAGGATCGACCGTGCCAATCGTTTTTTGTTTTTTTTTTTTTTTTCGTTGCTCCGTAGCCCCTGTCCCGTTTTTTCCATGCCGCCTCCCTAATCAAAGACACCATGGGCGTCGTCGGAGGGGGGACTGAAACAGAAGACTACAGTAATTCAGTGTACCTCTATCAGATCAACTGTAACACTTGGATAAAACCAGGTAATCATCATCACCAGAATGTTGATGTTGCCGCAGATTCGCTCTCCGTGAAGTCAGGATCGACCGTGCCAATCGTTTTTTGTTTTTTTTTTTACATCCTTGTATCTTCGTGGGTTTTTTTTTTGTTTTGTCGTTGCTCCGTAGCCACTGTCCCGTTTCTTCCATGCCGCCTCCCTAATCAAAGACACCATGGTCGTCGTCGGAGGGAGGACTGAAACAGAAGACTACAGTAATTCAGTGTACCTCTATCAGATCAACTGTAACACTTGGATAAAACCAGGTAATCATCATCACCAGAATGTTGATGTTGTAACACTTGGATAAAACCAGGTAATCGCAGATGCCGCAGATTCGCTCTCCGTGAAGTCAGGATCGACCGTGCCAATCGTTTTTTGTTTTTTTTTATCACGTTTCTCTCTTCAGTCTCGGCTGTCGGAGATCCCGTGAATCATTCGTTGTCCCTCGCTATGACAAGCTGGGGTGGTCGCCTCTTCTTGGCCGGAGGCTTTAACGGTGTCACACTGGGCAGACTCTTAACCCTGACTGTGCCCTCGGACCCCTGTGGCCTGCTCACAACACCAGAGGCCTGCAACACCACTACAGGCAGCTGTGTGTGGTGCAGGGGAGGCTGTGCGTCTTCTGATAGTGCCGAGAGGTAGCATGGATTCAGTACACGATTGAGTCAACTCAAGACTTCACTTGTTCTGTCACTAACCCCCCCTCCCGTCCTCCGTCTCTCACTCGCAACGGCCTCTCAGAATGGGATGTTTGGCAGGCCACTCGCCCTGTTCACCAACTCCTCGTCTACCAGACCAGTGTCGAAGATTGAGGACCTGCAGCGAATGCTTGGCGCGACACCCCAAAACGTTTTCAGGTCCATCGCAGGTAATGTGAACATTCAGAACCGCTGTTTATCTCTCGGTCCGAGCTCAAATCAAAAACTGAAAGTGACATCCAGAGGCTTTGTATTAGTAGGATGTTATTGTTTTGCTGACTTTAATTGCGTGCTTTTGCAGCACGCTCTTCAGTGCAAGTGGTGCACAAACTGCCCGGAGGGGGCTTGTATCGGCACCGCCGTTAGCTGCACGTCGGAGCATGACTGTCGAATCAACCAGCGAGAGATTTTTCTGTCCAGCAACTGCACTGAAACCAGCTGCGAGGCGTCCGACTGCTCCAAGTGCACTGCTTCTGGAAAATGCATGTGGACTCGCCAGTTCAAACGCACAGGTACGGACGGTAGTGGTGTTGTAGAGATCGGTACAATGTTTATCTGTTGTGGATACAACAACGTTTTTGCAAACTCCACTCAATCCTCTTTCCAGGTGAAACGCGGCGCATCCTGAGCGTGAACCCGACCTACGACTGGACGTGCTTCAGCTACGCCCTGCTCAACGTGTCACCCATGCAGGTGGAGTCCTCTCCTCCTCTGCCGTGCCCCCCACCTTGTCACACTCTTCACAACTGCAGCCTGTGCCTTGGCTCGAGAGGCTCGGATGGGGGATGGCAGCATTGCGTTTGGAGCATGGCACTGCAGCAGGTGTGACCGATTCTGAAAATCACATGATGTCAAACCGTCGTTGATGTTAGAAATCTTTTAAACCAACTTTTTCTAATTTGGACATGTTATATTTGTGATCTCCAATATCCAACGCAGTTACATGAAGGGCAACTAACCGTAATTTCCGGACTATTGAGCGCACCTGAATATAAGTCGCACCCACTAAATTTAAAGCGCCCAGGACACCACTGCACATGACCAAATGTGACCTGAACATGATTTGTGACAGGCAGCTGGTGGACTCGAACCTGAAACCTTCTGGACCCAAGGGCCGCTTCCTTAACCGCTAAGCCCCTACTCCCAGCTCCCGCATAAACACATTCAGCTTTTAAACACAGCCACTGAATACCACTCCGCTCTCATATGCCAGGCCTTTGTGCGACACTGTGTCAACCGTGCTCTAACTGTTGGTCGTTGTATTTTAGACATTGGGTTTTATGGGGGGTTTTTTTTTCTTTCAGTGCATGAGCCCATCCTTTGTGCCCTTGCGATGTGAGGCAGGTCAGTGTGGTCGTTTGCTCTCTGGCGGGGACTCTTGCTCACCCCAGTGCCATCAACTCACCCAGTGCTCCCAGTGCATTGCTCGGCCCCAGTGTGGCTGGTGCGGAATCCGTGAGGGCAACGGCGCCGGACACTGCCTGCAGGGTGGACTTGATGGTAAAATTTTTTTTTTTTTACTAAAAGAAAGATTAACACCGACTAGCTGTTCTTCTTCTCCAGGTTGTTTTTTTTTTTTGTTTTTTTTTTTTTTGGAAAACGAAGTAACTCACCATTTATGTAAATGTAAATCTTAGGGGCAAGTGAGGGTATTTGTCCTCCGAGGAACAGCAGCTGGTCTTTCCTTCACTGTCCAGAGGAGGATGAATGCGCCAATGGCCATCACAACTGCAACAGCACTCAGAATTGCCACGATCTATCTGAGGGATACCACTGCACTTGTAAGCAGGGCTACTTGCTCAGCAGGTGAGGCCAAGGATGGAGAACAAATTTAAACACCTCTCAAGCATTGTCTCTGCGAAAGATGTTCTTCTTTATGGAAATCTTGAGGATCTCGAGGATGTTTCTCACCTGTTTCTTCGATGCAACATATCAAATATTTTTTAATTCTATAAAAGAGATCATATAAACTTGATACAAATGTCTAATATTTCTAAGAGGTCTTTATTTACGGGTGTTTTTTTTTTTAAATGTGATCGTTCTCAGGGTTGAAAAACCAGATTAGCTAACACAGTATGATACCTTTTTTTTTTTTTTTTCATTAAGAAGTCATGTTGTGCGCAGCGTTAATTTGCTGATGCAACTGTCTGTAGAGGTGTGATCCTAACACGTGAGGGAGATCCACAAAGTGAGAGAACTATCAGGCAGCGATGAGCACAGTGGCGCCCTAATGTAAAAATCATTTTCTACCCCATCTATTGGGGAAAAGTGTGTACTGCAGTGAAAAGACAGAAGTATAATGATATATATATATATAAATAAATGATACGATTTGGAACATTTTGGTGGACCGGATTAAAAAGCTGAACGGGCCGCATCCGGCCCTCGGGCCTTAGTTTGACCATGTCTGGTTTAGCCGACGGCCTGCCCCCAAACACAGGGATGATGTGCAATACTGGTTGAACTACACTGTTACATTGAAAAATTTAATAGACGTTTATATGTGTGGTTCGTTTTTAGGAATCTTCTGTCACAATTCAAGATAGAAAAATATCACGACCAACCACAATTATATATATATATATCTAATTTTTTTTGTTCTTGTAGTAACGTTGTAGTTAAACCATCATTTTTCCTTTGTGATTCTTCTCTCTAGTCTTTCCGGTCAGTGCGGGCCAGTGTGCGCACAAGGCTGTTTGAACGGAACATGTGTCTCTCCAGGCGTCTGCCTGTGTCACTTTGGGTTTGTGGGGGACAACTGTTCCTTGCAGTGCAGCTGCAACAAACACAGCAACTGCGCTGGTGTCACCAAACCAGATGTTTGTCTGCAGTGTCACAATAACACCATAGTGAGTATCCAAATGAAATTGACATAAAAGTCATTCATTCATTCTCACCCATTCATTTTTTGCCTTTTCTCCTGACACTAGGGGAAGCAGTGTGAGAAGTGTAAGCCACTGTTCGTGGGCTCGGCCAAGGGGGGTGGGACTTGTCATCTGTGTCGGGAGTTTTGCAACGGGAACAGTGATATTTGTTTGTCTCGAGACGAACATAAGAAAGCCCTGGAAAACCCCCAGCTCTTTCCTCTCGACCTCAGCACGGTAAGTGTCAGCGCAAGGAATTCGACTCCCATTGGATGAGGAAGTTAATAGACACTTCTTGTTTATTGTATTTGATATTTTCTAAATGATCTTTTACAGATACAGAACTTTGTGTCAGAGGGTCCCACAGAAGACAACGCTGTGTGTGTAAACTGCCAGAATAACAGCGTGGGGGACAGATGTGAGAGCTGCCTCAGTGGCTACTTCCTGTTGGATTCCAAGTGTGAGAAGTGAGTATGGCTCTGGATTTTTTTTTTTTTTTTTTTTTTTGGAAGATTAGACCCTGTCAATTTTCATTGAATTGGAAAAAGTGCCGTTTGTTGCAAACTTCATTGTGGAAAAATATTTTCCAATTATAATAATTATATAAAATCTTCCAATTATTATACTGTGCCTGATATGTCTTTTAAAAAATACATTGAAAAAATAAAGAAAGAAATGTATAGAAATATACTCTATATTATATTAACTATACTAAGTTTTTTGAAATATGATGTCATCACAATTAATTCCTTTTTTTTTTAAAAAAAAAAACACTCCTGAAAAATACTGCGTTTCCCCGTATTGGTCCCAAAGGTTTGTCGCCATCTAGTGGCGATGAGAAAAATTGCGACTCCTTATGAATATTTTTTGTGTTCCAGCAGGCTTTGCTCGTAGTTTTCAAGAGTGTGATTACAGTTATGATAAGTGTCATGTGATATGAAACATGTTTTTAACTAAATACATTGTCCTTTTTTTCCTTCTAATCAATGTTTTTTTTATTTTTTTTTTTTATTTCAACTTCAGATGTCAATGTAATGGTCATGCAGATACATGCAATGAACAAGATGGCACTGGGTGTCCCTGCCAAAACAACACGGAAACATCTTCGTGTCCAGGGAGTCCTCAAAGTGACCGCAAAGATTGCTACAGGCAGCAGGTGCGCAATGCTAGCGCTAGTAGCTCTAAATACTCAGTGTGACCATGTGTCATTTTTCTTTGTCGAAGTCACGTTGTTTTTCAGTGTGACCATGTGTCATTTTTCTTTATCGAAGTCACGTTGTGTTTTGAATAACATGTTGTGTTTTTTTTTTTTTGTTTGTTTTTATTCATTTCAGTGTGCCAAGTGCAAAGACTCCTTCAATGGCACACCAGTTAATGGGCGTCAGTGTTACCGTCAGTTCAACGTGGACACGGAGTGCTGCTTTGACCCCACGTCCCAGACCAACTGTTTCCACGATCCCGCCATCCGTAACCTCCCCAAGGGACGCACCGTGTTCTTCGCTGCCCAGCCGAAGTTCACCAACGTCGACATCCGCGTCACCATTGACGTCACCTTCGGTGAAGTGGAGATGTACGTGTCCAACTCCCATGACACGTTCATTGTGGACGTGGACCGCTACACGGGGATTCACACCATCAAGATAGAAGAAGAATCGGGAACTCGGGGAACAACGGCTGGCGTGGACAAGGATTTACCGCTCTCTCCTATTAAAGTGTTTGCCAACACTTCCACGTCCAGCTTTGGAGGTCCAGTGCTTTCCCACAACCCATTGCTGCTTCAAGCGAAACCCACAGGCAGCGAAAGGGAAATCAGGGAGGAATGGGCTGAAGGACTGATTTCTTACATCACCGTCTGGAAGCCGCAGACGGTACTGATTGTGCGCAGTGTCAGAGACAGGGTGGTCATCACTTTTCCCCACGAGGTGCACTCCCTGAAATCCAGCCGTTTCTACATCGCTCTGAAGGGCGTGGGAACGGACGAGAGGCACGGCGAGTCCCAGGGCCTGCTCTTTCTGCGACAGGACCAGGCCCATATTGATCTCTTTGTGTTCTTTTCCGTCTTCTTCTCCTGCTTTTTCCTCTTCCTGTCCGTCTGCGTCCTCCTCTGGAAGGTGAAGCAATTCCTGGACTTCCGAAGGGAGCAGCGTCGCCACATCCAAGAGATGACCAAGATGGCGTCGAGACCCTTCGCTAAACTCACCATATATCTTGAACCTGACGAACCCCAGCTCATTTACCTCCCCTCGACTGGCGGAGGGGTTGGAGGCAACACGGCAGCGCTCGCTCACGCCCGCGCCAACAAGCTGGGGGGAATGGTAGTGGGCCAGAGGGGGCGAGCTGGAGCTATCGCCTACAAACATGACTCCGGCCTGGGGCCCACGGCTCACCATCACCTCACCCTGGGCGTAGGGGGCAACAGCGGGCAGCACCTCCCGCTGCACTACCTGAACACCCACCACTACGCCAACAACACTGCCGGTACCCCAGCCTCACATCACCACCATCCATCCACGTACACTGGCTACCAGCATTTCTGTCGCTCCGACCCTTTCCTCTCGCAGCTAATGGGATTCTCCTATTCTACGTTTAAAGTGGGGCCGATCACCCTGGAGCCCACTGACGATGGCATGGCCGGTGTGGCCACCGTTCTCTTCCAGCTGCCCGGTGGTGTTCTGGCTCCGAACCGCGCTTGTCTTGGCTCCGCGCTGGTGACTTTGCGACAGAACTTACAGGAGTACTACGGCCACAGCAACGGAGGGGGCCATCCAGGGACAGGGATAGGGCGCAAGGGGCTTCTGGGCCATCAGCCCCTGACTACTATGTAGATAATGAAATATATATATGTAAATAAAATGTCAGGAGACTTATGGAGATTGGTCCTAAATGTTTCTCCGTGCGTAAATTAATTTCATTAAAAGAGGGCAATAGGTAAGATGACGAAGTTAAAGGGTTAGTTCTGTTTTTTTTTGTTTTTTTTTAATTATTAGTATGCTACTGACGGATAGTGCTGATCGCACTGACGCCCTTACAGAGCGACGTAAGCTTTAACTAAAATGTGTCTGCCAGCAGTGGCGTAAGGAGAACAAACTGCAAACGGGCCGCGATTTCAGGAAATAGGCGGCTTGAGTTTGTTTTTGTTTTTCATGTCCCTGCATTGATGGCGACACTGTCGGAGAGAGGTTCTTATCACAGAAGGCAGCTTAATGTTTCATGTGACCACATATCTGAAAACCTGGACTATCCCTTTTTGGTTACCACGAGTCTCTTGAACGGAGTTGTACATACACTGTATTATGAGTTGTTAAGTGTCTTGGGTTGTGTTATAAATGACTACACTCATGTCGGTGTCTGTCGTGACCAAGTTTGGCGCTAGCTAAAAGTGCAATACAGCTGCTACGCTTCGCGTCAACGAAACGGCGACTGCGGTAACCGAGGAAGTACGAGTGCATGGCAGTCAGTCTCACCAAAGGCTGAAGTTGTTTTGGAAAGATATGGTCTGCTCATTTTATCATGACCGACATGTGCTTTATATTCTGAATGGTGACAATCAAAAATTTGAAAGGACAACAAAGAACTCTTTAAAAAGGTTTTCAAAATGCGAACGCCTTTGATTGTCGGCTCTGTGCAGGAAAAAAAAAAAAAAAGGTTCAAAGGAATTTGGAGATGGTTTTCATATCAAACTTGATGTACATTACTTATGAGTGTACAGCGGTCCCTCGTTTGTCGCGGTCGATTTCTGCGAAGTGGTGACACCATATTTACGCGCAGTAAAATGATGATGACTTTTACCGCGCAGCCGTTGATTGATTATACGTCTCTCCACAGGGTGGTGCCATTTCTTCTTTCCGAAGGTGTATCCGTAGTAGTAGCAGGAACTGGCTCTTTTTTGCGAGGCTGCCGAACATCGTGATCGGCAGTTGCTTCCGCCGCTCCTTTTTCCAGTCAAAGAGTAGCTTGTAGGCAGTCACGACATCGTCGATTTTATTGCAAAGTTGGACCGATCGAACCATATCGTCGTCCCATTCCTGTGACATCTCTTGCAGATCCAAATCCGGGATACGGTATATTTTATATATACAGTTTTCAAAAACCCGCGAAGTCGTGAAACCGCGAAATATCGAGGGACTACTGTAACACTAAATATGGCGGACAGCGTGATTATGTTTATGGTGATCAAGCCTCTTGAGTTTGTTCCATATATTTATTGACCTGTCGTGTTTTATTGTTATTAATGTTGTCTGAACTGTGCGATGCACCGTTCACAGGACCTTATGACATGGTAACATTTTCTGAATCTTCTGTGAGAGGTGGTATGTGAAGGATTACTTCAAATATTATTTGAATATTTTGATTATGTATCGATCTAATGGCGCAACCAAACTCTGTACAGACACGGAGAGGCTACGAGCATGGTGATAAAATTCTGAAGAAAAAAAAACAACAACTACGCTATTTAGCTCCTTTCAGGCAAAGACTGCATCGGTGTTAATATAGCCTAGCTTAGCTACAGTACGTGTTGCTCATCATATCCAATTTGGATCTACTCAATCTAAAATACTTCACGATTTCTTCAATTGTATATCAAGAGCTGTGTTCACGAATTCTCCCGGTGAGAGGCTTTTGTTTTTTTTTTAAATGACTGATGTACCCATTATTTGGGTTTTGTTGACGTTAAAAAGTATTTGTTTCTTTTGCACTGTGCGGAGGCGATAGGCCCCGATATTCATGTGAAATTGGATGAATTGTTGCTGGGCACTCATCGTCATGGATGGTGAACGTTCACAGCATCGTTAAGCAGATCGAGCTTAAATATAAATATTGTCCATATTCAGAACTCAGCATTTTAATGCATCATTGTTTATTGTACTTTAATTTACATTACGTCTGTACTTACCTGCTCCTGGATTGTTTGTTTATTTTGTAAAAAAAAAAAAAAAAAAAAGGGAACAGTGTTGTACAAACAATGCCTCAAGAGTCTTGGCTGAAATAAAGTCTGCGGAATAAGAGTGTCGTTGTGTGTGTGAAATGTATCTGCATGTAAGGCAGATGTGTGAGCAGCTACGCAAACAACTATACAGTGGAACCTCGAGATACGAGCGTCATCCGTTTCAGGACCGAGCTCGTAACCCGAGGTGCTCAAATCGTTTTTTCGCAAAAAATTAAAAAAAAAAAATTTGTTCGGTTACTCTAAAAAACGTCCTTATTAGTGCTAATAACAATAAAGAAAACGTGTTTTTAATTGCTGTAGAGACGACAAAAAATTATAGTATATAAGGATTACTGTGATATAAAATAAAATGTGGTTTTAATTATGAGTTCCTACATTCGAGACTTATCTCGTACTTATCTCATAGAAAATCACGTAGATAACGCTACGTACGGAAGGGATGCTTAACGGAAGTCGCCGAGCATGTGAAGTAAGTCTTGGCTGAAATAAAGTCTGCGGAAACAAGAGTGTCGTGTTGTGTGTGAAATGTATCCGCATGTAAGGCAGGTGTGTGAGCAGCTACGCAAACGCAAACGTTTTTTCGCAAAAAATTAAAAAAAAAAAATTTGTTCGGTTACTCTAAAAAACGTCCTTATTAGTGCTAATAACAATAAAGAAAACGTGTTTTTAATTGCTGTAGAGACACAAAAAATTATAGTATATAAGGATTACTGTGATATGAAATAAAATGTGGTTTTAATTATGAGTTCCTACATTCGAGACTTATCTCATAGAAAATCACGTAGATAACGCTACGTACGGAAGGGATGCTTAACGGAAGTCGCCGAACATGTGAAGTAAACGAGTGAAGCGGCGTGGGCTGCTCCGAGTGCTCGGCCACCTAGCGTCGGCGTCCGTAAGCGCGCTCGTATCTCAAATCTTTACTCGTATCTCGAAGCAAAAATGTTCTACTCGTATGTCGAGACGCTTGTATCTCGAGGTTCCACTGTACTATCAAACTGTGGATGTTATGGTTAATGTTAATATGGGGACAGTGAAGGAAAATACTGAGGTAAATGTGTGAGGGTGCTTTAATAATTTTCTACGCCATCTATTGGGGAAACGTGGGTATTGCAGGGAAAAGGCAGACATGTAATGATAATATAAATAAATTATATATCGTTCAGCGGGCGGGATTAAAAAGCTTAAGGGCCCGCCTCCGGCCCCCGGGCCTTAGTTTGACCATGCCTGGTTTAGTGTCTTAAAGTTGAGTCTCTTAAAGCAAAGTATCACCTCAATGATTTGAGTTGATGACAGTGAAGACGCTACGCTATATTTGATCATGAAAACACCAGGCAGGTTGAAAGCAATCATTTCACTGTTATTAGTCATTAAATGTGAAGTGTTCTTCCATAAACGTGTAGAAGCCAACTACAGCTTTTTTGGTATTATTTCAATTATAATTTGGTGTCTTTAGTAAGGTAATAATGTTATTCACTTATTATATTTGTTTGACGTTGTATATACAATGAAATACGTTATTCTAGTTTCAAGTTTGTCACAAGTTTACGTGACACACGTGCCTGGAATTGAAGAAAGAAAGAAAGAAAGAAAGAAAGAAAGAAAGAAAGAAAGAAACACACAAAAATTGTTCTGTCTAAAACTATTAAATAGACAGAAAGAAAATATAGACCAAGTGAAATTGGACAGTTTCCCACGGTACACGGTATGTAATTGGTAAACGGCGATAGTAGTAGAATCCTCAAAGACGATTGGTCAAAAGATCCGGAAGTGCTGGGCTTTTCCTGTGTAAAACGCTCAAATAAATAAATAAATAAATAAAACAGCTAAAGTCAATGGCGGCGTTTGTAGCTCTGAGAGGCGGTTGTTGCCATTAACACGGTAAGTCTCTGAAAACACTCAGTAATGCTGACACAGTCGCACACGCAAGAAAAGTACGACAACAGTCTTCGCTGCTACAGCCTCCGAGCTAGTGCTCGTCGAAAAATCACACAGCTTAGCTGTTATGCTAACGGCGGATAAAATGAAAGAGCACTTCGTCCTCCTCTAATGTATCTGTCTGATGCCTGGTCTCTGACACCAACAGAGAATATTAAAGTGACCACAGAAATGTTAACTTTAGAAAAGATGTGGTTTAGGCTGGGGACCATTCGTTGTTTTATGTCAGTTTAATCATAATGCAGACGAGGCGACTGTTTTTGTAATAAAAAAAAAATAGGTAAAGCATTCATAAATGAATTCATATTATATACGACGGTAGCATTTGCTAGTTTAA